CCACCGCTGACCCGCTTCGAGAACACTTTTTCGTCACCACGGAGGTCACGCCAGTACGCGCGGTATTCATCCGGGCCATCCAAGTTGAACTTCTTTTCGTTCGAGAAGACAACTTGACGTCAAAAGTCCATCTTCGCCATGCGCTTTGCAGCGAAAACACGACGCGCCCCTTTGTGATGCGGCTTCAGATACGGAACCGGCTTCTTCGCGTACACCTTTGCTTGCAATGAGCCCACTCTTGAATGAAGACAGTCTCAGTGCAGACACACACGTCGACTTTATTGTGGCGACACTTGAAGTGTATGGAAAAACAAGAGACCAGGTGGCCTTCATTACAGCTGACAATTGCGCGACCAATTCATCAATTGCAGTGAAGATGGATGTTCCATTGGTGGGTTGCTTTTCACACAAATTCAACTTGGCAATGATACAATTTCTCACCAGTTACGATACGGAAATTGCAAAAATTCACAACCTCATGCAGCAACTTTGTCGACTGAAACTATCTGGCCAATTGAAATTGCTCACAGAACTTAAACCAATTGTACGCAACGAAACGCGTTGGTCGTCAACATTCAACATGGTGAAAAGATATTTTGAACTTTTGCCATTTTTGCAAACCATGTATGGTATTGGACCCATGATGCTTACTTCTGCCCAAACACGACGGATGGAAAAAATGTTTGCCGTACTGGAACAATTCGAAAGTGTTACGCAGCGACTTCAGGCTGCTGAACTTGATTTGGGCGACGCACGAACCCTTTTTGACTGATTGCATGCACGACACCCCTCACTACTTCATATGGCCCCCGATGCGCCCATCACTAGATACCCCAACTTTGATTCCGCCGTTGAAAAAGTTCTGACCAACCGCGAGCACGAGTTGACAGCGGACGAGGCCGACGCTTTGGTGAAGCTGCGAAAGCCTCAGGATGACTCACAAACCTTCGTGTCAGAGACGCCAATGACACTTGCCGACGAGCTGTTGGAAGCTAAGCGACGACGGCTAGAGAACTGCCCAAGCGAATACGTCAACCTTCGTTGCGTTCTCCCAACAAGTAACATCGTCGAGAGACTTTTCAGTCTTGCCAAGCATATTCTCACGGACACACGGAAGCACATGCACCCGGTGAACTTCGAAATGATCATATTCCTTCGAGTCAACACCACCTACTGGGGAGTGAACGATTTGAGTACATTCGAGCTGTAGGAGAATAACTATCGATACATCACATGGAAAACAATGATCATCTTGAACGATACCGATATATCATTATTGTGTCGGTCGATTTCAAAGGTCGCGATAGATATATTATTGCGCAAGCCTGCTTGTGGGGTATCCAATCTCTCGTCCACAATGGCTCCCTCTCAGTGACGGTTTGGTTTTTGGAAGATTAACTAGTTGTGAATGTACTAGTAGTACTCTTAACTTGGTCGCGAGCTCTCACTGACGTCGAAATTACAAAATTTTGACCAATAAAAACGCAGTCGTCATCATTTGAAAAAGCACAATGCAATAAAATTTCCAGCAAAACTCAACGTCGAAATAATATTACCTCATACAAATATCAATACATTACACATTTACCACGGGGGAAGGAATTCCGTCGTTCCCTGTACTCCTATACGTATGGGCATAGTTCCGTGCCAAAACAGTTCCGTACCACAAACATCATTGGTGAATTTTAAACCAATCATGCACGCAGTAGGACCTCTACATTATTAGGCCGTGTTCGCGGAAAAACACTGAATGAAATCCCAACACTGAACACGACATTATCCGGCCTTTTTATCCGGTGAGACGCCACGTGCCAATAATCGTGTTCAGGGAACACTGAACTAATTTCGACATTTAACTCTGCACGCCATGAAGTCGTTTGGTAACACATCGTGTGATGCTGGTGCTGGCCCGAGTGATGCTGGTGCTGGCCAGTGTAATGTTGGTGGTGGCCCGTGTGTTGCTGGTGGTGGTTCGTGTGTTGCTGGTGCTGGCCAGTGTAATGCTGGTGGCGGCCCGTGTGTTGATGGTGGTGGTCCGTGTGCTGGTAGTGGTGGTTCATGAGTTGCTGGTGGTGGCCCGTGTGTTGCTGGTGGTGGTCCGAGCGATGCTGGCCCTGGCCCGAGCGATACTGACCCTAGCCCGTGTGATGCTGGAGCTCGCACGTGCGGTGATGGCAACGCCACAGCACAGGAAGACTCGATTACTTTAATCACTGTTCTTGCTGCTGCTGTTGCTGCTGTTGGAGTGTGTGTTGCAACCATTTCTCGGATACCAAGTGCAGACAAGTACAATGTTTTAACAGTTAACGAGGTGGATTTTCAACGCATGCTTCACTTCGACAAGTACGACCAGTGGTTCCTCAACAATTGCGTTGCAATCAACAAACCTTTCACCACATTTGCAAGATTCTTCGAGCTCACATGCATGACTACAACCTGGATCTCTACACTAAAGCACATTCGTTTGAAAAGAAGTTTGCGGTGTATCTATACTTCATGGGATCCACTTGTGGATACCGAGAGCTTGGTGGAGTGTTTGGCATGTAAAAGTCGTGGTGTCAAAACATCGTGAGTTGCTTTTCGGCGTCTATAAGCTCGATGGCGTCTAAGTGGATACATCTTCCCCGCTCATCACTGGTATGGCGTCAAATTGAGAATGGGTTCTCCAGCTCAAGTGGAATGGCTGGAGTAGTAGGAGCAATTGATGGGACATTGATTGAGATCTTGCGTCCCCATCAGCACGAGTTCTTCAATCGTCACGGCGACTCGTCATTGAACGTAAAAGCTATTGTCGACAGCAGGGGGTCATTCATTAATGTTGATATGAGACCGGGAGCCTTTTCAGACAAAAAGACAAAAAGACAAAAAGTTGTGGAAACTATCTGAAATTGGTAGCACATTTCGCACGAGGGCACCGAAAGGTTGCTGTCTCATTGGCGACTCTGGCTATACTTTGTTTCCGTGGCTGCTTGTTCCGTACCTGCCTCATGAAGAGAGATCGGGGGCACTAAACCAACGACAGGCAAACTTCAACTACGTACTCTCCAGCTCTCGAATGGCGGTTGAGTGCGCATTTGGACGCCTTAAGGAGCGCATTCGTGTGCTTAAGGGGCCAATGAGTGAGAAACGATTAGCGACAACAGTCACACATGTCATGGCATGCATGGTGCTGCACAAAATGATGACCCAATTCAATGACCCCCTGTTCGATGCCTCCAACGACGCCAACACAAACAACTACTGTCAACCAATTCCCGCGTCCAACCGGAACACTGTCGACGAATACCATCCTAAGAGAGCTTGCCAAACATCGCAGAGACAGAATTGCATGTTCGCTGTATCGTGATTCATGACCAGGCTTAATTATGCTCGATTAATCAAAAATTCCAAAAGTCTTTCAATTTGACCAGATTGACGCTGAATCGCCGCAGATTGAACTTCGAGAGCCGACAAGATCTTTTCTTCATTGTTCAATGGTGTAGCACGTGTTAACGCAACCACAGTACCCAAAGATTGGAGACCAGCACCGACAGCTTCTAGACCCATGAACAACGAGTCCGCACGCGCACTTTTTTGCTTCCCGCGGACCTTCACCGCACTTGGTCTCGTCGAAAAGAGATTGCGCTCCAATAAAGGAGCTCCTTTACCGTGGGCTCACATTCACTCTCCAATGCCGACGAGCTGGCATCGCTGTCATGGGCGATATCATTGCCGTCCAATGCCGGAACATCAGACGACATTAATGTGTCACGAGACAAAACAGGAATACTTCCCCAATACTCAAACATAATGTCGTAGTACTGAGGCTTGGAACGGACCAAAAGTCCATTGCCTGTCGCTTTGACTTGCGGCTTAAACCACTGCTGCTTGAGGTCATGTATCTAACATGATGTGTAAATATTTTTTCAACAATGACACAATAGCGAAAAAGAAGGTTCTTTTTCACAGATTTTGTACCTTGCTTTGAACACTGCGTGCGTCGAAGACACGCTCCATCCCAATCGACAGTTCAGCAGCGAGCAGGTCGTACGCGTCCTTTTTCATTTGATTGTTCTTTACACCGTCGAAACGATCGGCCATGCCGATGTACCGGAGACGCAGCATTGCAGAGACAGAGGACACACACCACTTCGCCTTCTGGCGCACACCGGCCGTGCCAGTTGCGTGGCTCGATATCAATGCTCCAACCTCTGTAGCCTGTGGCAGAGCAGATGCTGTAGGCTTAACCTGGCGAGCCTTCTTGTTTGTGCTGCTTGGCGCGTTCTCATGCGATCGCTTTGCCATCCCAAGACAGGTTGTTTACACAAGTGACTGGTCTGTATTCAGTGTTAATCTCAACACGAGACTCGGAGTCCTGTGTCAAATTGACCAACCCTGGACGTACACAACACTGAACACATCCGGATGACGGATAATCTGACCAATCAAAGTTGAGTCGTTCAGTGTCAATATGCTCAGTGTTGTGGAGTGTTGGTTCCCCGAACAGGGCCTTATGCATCTCTCTAAATTGATGACTTTTGCATTCGCGCGCAAGGACCAACTTTTCCCCGGGAAACAACAATTTCCCATGTGAGCACAGCACATCATTTTCAAATCTTCGCTACCGCGGCTATTCCACCCCCATCCCCTACCGTAGCCACGGTCTGATCATGCAATCCGAGGTGTCCTTGCGAGTGTTTGACGCAATAGAGGCGGTCAAATCCAAACGTATGACCTGCTGAGCGGCGGCTTCGCAGTTCAGTGTGGGTCGCATGATGCTACAGAGGCGACTACATGGCCAAGTGGCTCCTCTATCCCGGAATGGTCCAACACCTGTCTTGACCCAAGGCGAAGAGATGGGTATTGTGGAGGCGGTCGACAAGCGGACATTGCACGCCCAGTGCTTCACGCATGACGAACTTCATCCGCGTATGTATCGAGAACAGCCAGCACGAACGTACTGTGTCGGACACGTTTCCATCGTCGACGTTCGTGAAGAAGTTCATCAAGCGTCACTCGCACCACTTTTCTTCGCGCAGTGCTCAGGCCATGGAGGCTGTCCGTGCACGTCGAGTACGATAGACGTCGTGGATGCCCACTTCACCAACTTGGCCAAGGTGCTTTGCGACTACAAATTTGAACCCGACTGTATTTGGAACCTGGACGAGTCTGGGACGTGCGCAAAAGGGTCCCGCAACAAGACCAAGATGCTGGCATCGAAGCGCATGCCAGCAAACGATAAAAAGCTGACAGCAGACAGAATGTTTCCGTTCTGGTGTGTGTGGATGCTGGTGGTGGCCATGTCCCTCCGTTCTTCATCCTGCCGGGTTCGAATGTGTGCAAGCGGATGACCCTGGGTGGCTTGCCAGGATCCAACTTTGCGGCCACAAAGTTGTCCTTTCTGTCGACGACGCTGTATATCCAATACTCGAGTGGTTTGTCAAACAAATTGGGCCCAAGCGACCAGTACTGGTGTTGATGGATGGATACGGAGCCATTGGTCATCCAGGACGATTGAGTATGCTCGGTCAAAGGGCATTCATTTGTAACCCTGCCATCCGCCACTGGACGTCGCTGTCTTTTCCCAATTCAAACGATTACTGGACGTCGAGTTGGCCTACTTCCGCGTCATGCATTCACGCTTTGCGGCAACAAGTGACATGGTTGCTGTGGCCTCTAATGCGCTGGCCAAATGCCTCACCACGACATACATCGTCAGTCGGTTTGAGAAGGCGGGTATATGTCCACTGTCTCGTGATGTTATGATGTCCAAGATTGTAGGAGACAAGCCTGGCGTGATGGCGATGACGATCGTCCAAGCAACTGTGCGCGTTGAATCCCGGGTGGTCGTGCATTTGCGGGAATTGGGAATAGACATCGACTCGGCCCGTGACTTGTGCATCAACGATGCTGTGGTTCAGCGTTTACTCATAGAGCCAGTTCCCCAAAAGGTGATGACGACTGGATTGATGGTGGGTGCTCATGACTGCAGACAAAATTGCGGCTGACAAGGAAGCCAAGAAGAAGGAAGAAGAAATGATCAAGCAAAAGAAGAAAGCCAGTGCACAGAAACGAGTCGTTGCAGCGAAAACGAAGATGGCGTTGGATGAACGTCGTCGTGAGGCGTCAGAGCGCAAGTCGATGTCGTTGGAAGATTCGAGCAAGCCCGTTCGTCGCGAGAGGCCACGCGCACACGATGTGGTGAAGTATTTGTTATCTAGGAATCCGGATATTCGAATAAATGATGGTCTAAAAGTCGGATAAAGTGGCACGGAATTGTTTTCAGCCAATCGAGATTTTTAATATTCACACCCGAAGAACTTTTGACATATTGGTACAGTAAAATCGATACAAAACCAAGTCACACGATCTACGCTTATTCTACTCGATTAAAGACGGTATTATAATTACAAATTTGACTTCGGGAAGTCCTCCAACGAGGGACCTGTAAATATGGCACGGAACTCGGCCTTTACGAGTACAGTCTGGAACAAAACTATAGCCGCACCTACATTTTCATCATGATGAGGCACACGACGTCGACTGAGGTGATCAAACTCAATCCAATTTCAACAAATCACGTCGATGACAAGACCTTGGAACGCCTTCCCATGAATCAAAACGGTTACACTAGAATTCAAGTGCCTATGTCATTTCATTGGAACAC